AAAATCGGTATTCTGTACATAGTTCTCTACTGTATTTAAACCAACAGCAGAGGCAGCAAGGTGACATCTTATCACAGATGTGTTATTTGCATCTTCTTGCCTAATCTGTTTTTTTTTTGTATGTAATGTTTTATATTACAGAATATATTAATTTATATGTGTTGAGTTTTTTGTTTGTTCTTTGATGTTAACCAAGATAGCATTTGTGGAGCTGTGCCTATTCCTGAGCATGCTGAATGAGAGCTCAGATTTGGGTGATCAGTCCTAACCAGGTGCTCACAGCACAGAGGAGTCTCCATCCGCCCCACGGGGTACAAGGGCCCCTTCATATTAGTCAATGCATATTCATTTTACCGTGCTGTGTTACTAAACCCCGGACCCCGCATTCACTATATCCGCTCTCCCCGGACCCCGCATTCACTATATCCGCTCTCCCCGGACCCCGCATTCACTATATCCGCTCTCCCCGGACCCCGCATTCACTATATCCGCTCTCCCCGGACCCCGCATTCACTATATCCGCTCTCCCCCGGACCCCGCATTCACTATATCCGCTCTCCCCGGACCCCGCATTCACTATATCCGCTCTCCCCGGACCCCGCATTCACTATATCCGCTCTCCCCGGACCCCGCATTCACTATATCCGGTCTCCGCGGACCCCGCATTCACTATATCCGGTCCCCGCCACCCCGCATTCACTATATCCGCTCTCCCCGGACCCCGCATTCACTATGTCCGCTCTCCCAGGACCCCACATTCACTATATCCGCTCTCCCCGACCCCGACCCCGCATTCACTATATCCGCTCTCTCCCGGACCCCGCATTCACTATATCCGCTCTCCCCGGACCCCGCATTCACTATATCCGCTCTCCCCGGACCCCGCATTCACTATATCCGCTCTCCCCGGACCCCGCATTCACTATATCCGCTCTCCCCGGACCCCGCTCTCTCCCCGGACCCCGCATTCACTATATCTCCCGCGGACCCCGCATTCACTATATCTCCCCGCCACCCCGCATTCACTATATCCGCTCTCCCCGGACCCCGCATTCACTATATCCGCTCTCCCCGGACCCCGCATTCACTATATCCGCCCTCCCCGGACCCCGCATTCACTATATCCGGTCTCCCCGGACCCCGCATTCACTATATCCGCTCTCCCGGACCCCGCATTCACTATATCCGCTCTCCCCGGACCCCGCATTCACTATATCCGCTCTCCCCGGACCCCGCATTCACTATATCCGCTCTCCCCGGACCCCGCATTCACTATATCCGCTCTCCCCGGACCCCGCATTCACTATATCCGCTCTCCCCGGACCCCGCATTCACTATATCCGCTCTCCCCGGACCCCGCATTCACTATATCCGTCTCCCCGGACCCCGCATTCACTATCCGGTCTCCCCGGACCCCGCATTCACTATATCCGGTCTCCCCGGACCCCGCATTCACTATATCCGCTCTCCCCGGACCCCGCATCCACTGTATCCGCTCTCTTCGGACCCCGCTTTCACTCCCGCTCTCCCCGGACTCCGCATTCACTGTATCCGCTCTCCCCGGACTCCGCATTCACTGTATCCGCTCTCCCCGGACCCTGCTTTCACTATATAAACTGCTAAATCCCTTTTCTCATCAGCAGTATATAGCAGTCTTTTGAATTCTATCAGTGTCCAGCAGAGCACTGGTTCAAGCATGTAGGAGGAGTTTTCTTTCTGCTCTGGGAGGATGCAGAACCCCTGACCCTCTGTCTGGACTGCGCTGATTGGCCCTGTGCTGATCACATGCACTCTCCCAAGAAAAAAAAAAAAAAACCCTCTAGCACTACGCACCAAACTGAGCATGTGCACAGTGGCTCCACACAATGTCTTATCAGGAAGAAGGGGGGGATCAGAGAAGACAGGATCAAACAGCATTTTTACACAGTGTGGAGGATTAACCCCTTAGGTTTCACAGTGAGTATAACAAGCACGCTTTACTGCATCTACAGACTGATTGTACTGTTGGGGGGGGGTCTGCCATCATCTTGGTGAGATCACTGTTGGCCTACGGTGGCACGGTTCCACTACAAACCAGGGAAGTCTCAATACCTTTGCCTTGCAAACGTGGAAAAAAACGCCAAAAAAAGCTGAAAAATGCAAGTTTTTAACGTGACTTTACACAGCTATCATTACCAGCGTCATCAAAACGCCCCGTGTGGGTGGAGCCTAATGGTGTTCATACGTAATGCTGAACGCGATGCAGCCCTCCTCTGACCGGGAAATCTTCACGCAACTGCACAAAGCCTCGCGCATTACCACCATCCAACTTTATTTGGCTACGGCGCCTCCCGGCCCTTTAAAGGTTTCAGAAGCCAGGAGGGGGGCGGGGTTTTAGGGTCATGTGACCGCCTTGATTTTCCGTCACATGATTGGAAAAGGTCCTGATCGAAAGATTGGGACCTTTCCAGGAGTCGCGGACATGTGCTGGGAGCGCTCTCAGCACATATGTATTTTCTAATCGCACTCAAATATGCGATTGGTGTCAAGGCCCAGACACCAAGAGGCCGCATATTTGCGTGCGATCGGCGTCAAGGGGGTTAAAGGACAAGTTCACCTTTTGTGTCATGTCACACCCATGTTCAGGTTGTCACATGTTACGATCAGACCACCCCCCCCATCCCACCTTGACAGCTAGCGAAGGATCTTCTCCCCCTGTTGCTGTCAAATTTTTAAAAACCATGGCCGCCTGGGGCTCCGCCCACATAGCTGCGTCACTCATTCACAGTCATTTGTGAATGAGAGACTACAAGTCCCAACAGCCTCAGCAGCTGTCAGTTTGTAGTCCTCAATGACCTACCACGGCGTTGTGAAGCCCCTTGGTAGTTCATTCATTCTTCCTGTCACACTATCTGCTTGGCGGTGCATCCCCTACAGCAAGCAGATATACTGACAGGTCTGCAGGAGACCTGCATGGCACCAGCCATCTGCTGATCGCAGTGCAATGCTTTACAGGTTCCTGCAGACAAAAAATAATAAATGCACTTTTTTTTTTTTTAAACCTGCAAAAAAAAAAAGGGGCAATTATTATTTTTTTTTTCTAAAAGGTGGACTTATCCTTTTAATACTAAAAGACAATTTCATACTTACAAAAGTGTCAACAGGCATGTCAAATAGAAACTGCAGCCTAGGTGATATCACAGAGCTATGGAGCCCACAGGTGGAAGGTTGACGCGTTTCGGGGGACATGTCCCCCTTCCCCAGAGCTTAGCTCTGCTCAGATATTATTTACAGTGAAGGAAATGTGTATTTGTTCCCCGGCTGATGTTGAATGTTCGCCCCTCACACAGAAATGATCGGTCTAAGAATCGAATGTTCGGTGTAACACTGAGAGACAGAATACAACAACAAATTCAGCAGAAATGCGTCTAACAAATGATGACTGATCTGCATGTTCATGAGGGAAAGAAGGATTTGATCCCCTATCATTCAGCAGGATTTCTGAGATTCGAACCAACGACCCGAGTACTGCCAGGCAGAAGTGCTGACCATAGCTTTACTAACACTAGAGAACTAGGCATCTGGGGCAGCTTAGCTCTGAAGAAGAGGGCATGTCCTCTGAAACTCTTTGGAGTGTAGCAGGAAAACAGAGGAAACCCACGCAGGCACAGGGAGAACATGCTCAAACTCCAGCCAGGTGGTGCGGTGGTTGGGATTCGAACCAACGACCCGAGTACTGCCAGGTGGAAATGCTATCCATTGTGCTGCCCATAGATTTACTAACACTAGACAACTAGGCATCTGGGGCAGCTTAGCTCTGAGGGCATCTGGGGCAGCTTAGCTCTGAGGGCATCTGGGGCAGCTTAGCTCTGAGGGCATCTGGGGCAGCTTAGCTCTGAGGGCAGCTTAGCTCTGAGGGCATCTGGGGGCAGCTTAGCTCTGAGGGCATCTGGGGAACCTTAGCTCTGAGGGCATCTGGGGCACCTTAGCTCTGAGGGCATCTGGGGACCTTAGCTCTGAGGGCATCTTAGCTCTGAGGGCATCTGGGGCACATTAGCTCTGAGGGCATCTTAGCTCTGAGGGCATCTGGGGCAGCTTAGCTCTGAAGGCATCTTGGGGCATGTCCCCCGAAACGCGTCAATCTTCCAACTGTGCGCTACATGGCCAGGTGACTTCCCTGTTGAGACTCATGGGTAGGCCATTGTCTTTTAGTATCAAATACAGTTGGATGGTGGTCATGCACTAGGTGTTTGCACCCTCCAGCATGTGGATTTTTTTTGAAGGCCTGGCCCCGAAAACACCAACTTCTCACCACGACTTGACACCATGAAAGTTGTTGGAGTTTATGGGATATAACAAGAGAGCATTTATGTAATAGCATTGCCAATACAAGTGCCAGATAGTACAATAATGTATTTCACAACAAGATCGGTACTCCTAATAGACATCCAACGGTGAAACCCAAAAAAAAAAAATGGTGAAAAGACGACGGACGATCCAGCTGGTCTGGTAAGTGCTGTTCCTGGGCGGGTTTGCAGGTCCATTCAGCAGCCGGTGGGGGGAGGGGCTGTACGACGTCCACCAGCATCAGAGATCCAAGGTGGTTGTTATCGTCCAATAACACTTTGTGCTGTGCAATAGGTGTACGCTTTATAAATAATTCATCCAGACCTTCCTCGACCCCCCTCCTCCCCCACCCCGCAAGCACCTCACCCACTAGAACGCCACAGTTCTTGGCACTGGCCGGCCCCTAGGAGGCCCGGGATTCTTGTGGCTCTCAGATCACTGTCCTCACAGTGGGGGAGGTTGAATTGACTGTGCATGGGGGAGTGGGTACGGGGGGCGGGGGGTACTTCTCTTCATTCATTCTTCCCTCCTCGTCCATAGAGAGGGGCATTTTGTCCCTGATTGTCGGGCAAAGATATATATTCATATATATTTATTTATAGAATTATATATAGATGTCTATACAGGCGGAGGGCTCGCCGCGACCTCCTGGGGGAAGCGGGAGGGCCGAGGTCCTAAGCGATCGAGTCCCAGTCAAAGGTATCTTCAATTTCATCGTTGTGCGGATGGCGCAGCGCTGGACGGGGGGGGCGGGTACAGAGTTCGCTGGGGGTGGCGACCTGCGTAGACAAAAGCAATTAACACAAGTTACAGCCGGCCCATTGAGAGAGAGGGAGGGGAGAGAGAGAGGGAGGGGAGAGAGGGGGGAGGGAGAGAGAGAGAGGGGGGAGGGAGAGAGACTGGCACAGAAAAAAGCGCAAGACAGACAGCTGAGGAAGGTGACTTTTGAAGTGTTTTTGCATAATAAAAAATAAAAAAAAAAGTGTAAAAAAAGCACTTGAAAAGCTCAAGAAAAATGCTTCATTGTGTATGTGAATGTATATCTATATACAGTTGTGTTCAAAATAATAGCAGTGTGTTGAAAAAAGTGAATAAAACTCAAAATCCTTCTAATCGCTTTTATTTCCATCCACACAAATGCATTGGGAAAATTGTCGGTCTTTGTTTATAGCGCAAAAAATAAAAACTGCACAGGCGATCAAATACCACCGAAAGAAAGCTCTGTTTGTGGGAAAGAAAAGACGTAAATTTAATTTGGGTGCAGCGTTGCATGACCGCGCAATTGTCAGTTAAAGTAACACAGAAAATGGCCCGGTCAGGAAGGGGGGAAATCCTCAGGAGGGCGAGGGGTTAATGAGAAAAATTTAAAAAAAACTAATATCAGGCCGCAACATAACATAAAAAGGTGAAGGGGGTGTGAATACTTTGTGAATGTTTTGTATCTTTCATCATTTTAATATAGAATACGTTTCATATAATATACAGTACATTATATTTTATATATACAGTGGGGATGGAAAGTTTGGGCACCCCAGCTAAAAATTTGTATTAATGTACATAAAGAAGCCAAGGAAAGATGGAAAAATCTCCAAAAGGCATCAAATTACAGATTAGACATTCTTATAATATGTCAACAAAAGTTAAATTTTATTTCCATCATTTACACTTTCAAAATAACAGAAAACAAAAAAATGGCGTCTGCAAAAGTTTGGGCCCCCTGCAGAGTTAATATCTTGTACTGCCCCCTTTGGCAAGTATCACAGCTTGTAAACGCTTTTTGTAGCCAGCCAAGAGTCTTTCATTTCTTGTTTGAGGTATCTTTGCCCATTCTTCCTTACAAAAGTCTTCCAGTTCTTTGAGATTTCTGGGCTGTCTGTCACGCACGGCTCTTTTAAGGTCTATCCATAGATTTTCAATGATGTTGAGGTCAGGAGATTGTGAAGGCCATGGCAAAACCTTCAGTTTACGCCTCTTGATGTAATCCCCCGTGGATTTCCAGGTGTGTTTAGGATCATTATCCATTTGTAGAAGCCATCCTCTCTTTAACTTCAGCTTTTTCACAGATGGCATCAAGTTACCATCCAAAATTTGCTGAAATTTTATTGAATCCATTTTTCCTTCTACTCGTGAGATGTTCCCTGTGCCACTGGCTGCAACACAACCCCAAAGCATGATTGATCCAACCCCATGCTTAACAGTTGGACAGAGGTTCTTTTCATTAAATTCTGTGCCCCTTCTTCTCCAAACGTACCTTTGCTCATTCCGGCCAAAAAGTTCAATTTTAACCTCATCGGTCCACAGAACTTGTTTCCAAAATGCATCAGGCTTGTCTATATGTTCATTTGCAAAGTTCAAACAATGATTTTTGTGGTGAGGACGTAGAAGGTTTTCTTCTGATGACTCTTCCATGAAGACCATATTTGTACAAGTATCTCTTTATAGTGGAATAGTGACCACAACTCCAGTGTCTGCCAGATCTTTCTGGAGGGATCGTGCAGTCAAACGTGGGTTTTGAATTGTTTTTCTCACAATCCTGCGAGCTGTTCTGTCTGATATTTTTCTTGGTCTTCCAGATCTTGCTTTAACTTCCACTGTTCCTGATGACTGCCATTTCTTAATTACATTCCGAACAGAGGATATCTGAAAACACTTTGCTATCTTCTTATAGCCTTCTCCAGCTTTGTGAGCGTCAACTATTTTCAGTTTCAGTTTTGTAGACAACTGCTTAGAAGAACCCATGGTGCTGATTGTTGGGGCAAGGTCAGATGAGTCTGGGCATTTAAAACCTTTGAGATTGACATCACCTGGTCTTCCCAGACGATGATTGAGAACAATCCATGACACTGGCAGGTCTCAGCTTGGCAAAGGGGGCAGTGCATGCTATAAATTCTGCAGGGTGCCCAAACTTTTGCAGACGCCATTTTTTTGTTTTCTGTTATTTTGAAAGTGTAAATGATGGAAATAAAATCTAACTTTTGTTGACATATTATAAGAATGTCTAATCTGTAATTTGATGCCTTTTGGAGATTTTTCCATCTTTCCTTGGCTTCTTTATGCACATTAATACAAATTTTTAGCTGGGGTGCCCAAACTTTTGATCCCCACTGTATATACACACAACCCTGTATATTTATATATGTATATATTATAAATTATGCAGAGGTGGGGTGCAGCAGTTTTTTTTTCGTGTCTTTTATATGAATGGAGAATAAAGGTCTGATGAAGGATACAGATCTATTTTTTGTTTACTTTTTATTCATTTCTATTAGTAGGCACAATGCAGTGTACAGTCCATGGTGGTCCTCCATACAGGTCTCACGTTGTGTTCTTCTATATGGTTTATTGTACCGACAGACTCAGAATTTTTGAAAGCTTTATGAAATCATCTGGATGTAGATTTTAATTGCTACAGTCATGGCCAAAAGTCTTGACCCCCCCCCCCCTCCGTCATTTGTCAGATAACGCACCACTTCACCCAGAAAATTGCTGCAATGACAAATGTTTCGGCATTCTCATGTTTATTTCTTTTGTTTGTATTGGTGACACAAAAAGCCAAATCTGACACATTCCACACCAAACCCCAAAAATGGACTGGACAAAATTTTTGGCAAGCTCCATGTAATATTTGGTGGCACACCCCTTGGGTAGAGGAAGCCATTGAGTTCAGTTACTTTTTCCATCAATAAGTTCCTTCCACCTCTCTACTGCAATTTTGGAGCGCTCTTCTTCCTCCAATGGCTCCGGGTCTCTCAGATTGGAAGGGTTCCTTTCCCCAACTGCTGTTCTGAGATCTCTCCACAGGAGCTCTATGGGATGGAGATCTGAACTCATTGCTGACCAGTTCAGTCCTCTCCAGCGCTTTGTCTGAAGCCATTTCTGGGGGCTTTTTGACGTGTGCTTTGGGTCATTGTCTTGCTGTAGGACCCATGGACTCTGATGGAGACCCAACTTTCTGACGCCGGGCCCTACATTGGCCCACTGAATTCTTTGGTAGTCCTCAGATTTCCTAATGCCATGCACACAGTCAAGACATCCAGTGCCTGAGGCAGCAAAGCAACCCCAAAACATCAGTGACCCCCCACCATGTGTGACTGGAGGGACTGTGACCCCCCCACGTGTGACTGGAGGGACTGTGACCCCCCCCCTCCTCTCCCCCACCATGTGTGACTGGAGGGACTGTGACCCCCCCCACGTGTGACTGGAGGGACTGTGACCCCCCCCCTCCCCCCCACCATGTGTGACTGGAGGGACTGTGACCCCCCCGCCATGTGTGACTGGAGGGACTGTGACCTCCCACCATGTGTGATTGTGACTCCCACCATGTGTGACTGGATTCTTTTCTTTGAAGGCCTCATTTTCTCTTTTTCTGAAACCAGTAGAATGATGGGCTTCACCAAAAAGCTGCCATTGTGTTCCGTCTGTCCAAAGAATATTCTCCCAGAAGGATTCTGGCTTCCTCAGGTAAGTTTTGGCAAACTCCAATCTGGCTTTTTTTTGTTTCTGTGTCAGCGGTGGGGTCCTCCTGGGTCTCCCACCATATTACTGTGTCGGCGGTGGGGTCCTCCTGGGTCTCCGACCATATTTCTGTGTCGGCGGTGGGGTCCTCCTGGGTCTCCGACCATATTTCTGTGTCGGCGGTGGGGTCCTCCTGGGTCTCCTCCCATATTTGTGTCAGCAGTGGGGTCCTCCTGGGTCTCCTACCATAGGATCCCTTTTCATTCAGATGGCAACAGATAGTGGGAGTTGACATCGTTGTACCCGGTGCCTGAAGGTCAGCTTGGATTTGTCTGGAAGTTGGTGGAGGTTCTTTAGCCACCATTCCAACAATCCTTTGTTACAATCTTTGATAAATTTTTCTCTTTCGTCCACGTCCAGGGAGATTAGATACAGTGCCATGTCCTGGAAACTTCCTGACAATGCTGCACACAGTGGACACAGGAACATTGAGATCTCTGGAGATGGACTTGTCACCTTGAGATGGTCCATGCTTTGCCACCATTTTTGTTCTCAAATAATTCTTTGCTGCTTTCTCTCTTCCATGTGGCACACAGAGACATGCAACAGAAAGGTGGAGGCCATTTTCCACCATTTTACCTGGTTGCCGGTGTGATTTCTATAATGTCAGCACCTGGTCATGGATACGGGGAGATTACAAATTAGAGGAGCGTCACAAACGTGGAATGCAATTATTTCTTACAATTTTGTGTCAGAAAGTTGGGTCTCCATCAGAGGATATGGGTCTACCAGCAGGACAATGACCCAAAGCACATATCAAAAAGCCCCCAGAAATGGTTTCAGACAAAGCGCTGGAGAAGACTGAACTGGCCAGCAATGAGTCCAGATCTCCATCCCATAGAGCTCCTGTGGAGAGATCTCAGAACATCAGTTTGGGAAAAGAACCCGTCCAATCTGAGAGACCTGGAGCAGTTGGTGACAGAAAAGCGCTCCAAAATTCCAGTGAGAGGTGGAAGAAACGCATTGATGGTTCCAGGAAGCCATTGATTTCAGGTATTTTTTCCAAGGGATGTGCCACCAAATATTACATGGAGGGTGCCAATAATTCTGTCCAGTCCATTTTTGGGGTTTTACCTGGAATGTGTCAGATTTGTCTTTTTTTTGTTTCTCCACTTTTTTATGTCATATCAATACAAACAAACACGAGAATGCCAAAACATTGGTCATTGCAGCAATTTTCTGGGTGAAGTAGTGCGTTATCGGACAGAAATTCAGGGGGAGGGGCAATATTTTTGGCCGTGACTGTATGAACACTGGCACCACCCCTTTAGCAGAGCGAACACAAGTATGAGCTCTCACCTTGCTGGCTGTATGTTGGCGGTGCTTGGGTGTGGATTGGATATCCAGGGGGTGCAGTGAAATTATGACCGCAAGACACTGGCGTTGGCTGGTTTTGCCCGTAGGAGGCCACTGGAGAGAGAACACAATTTTCAGCAGGATACTAATTGCTCATATAAATTGCATATTTCCTGGAGGGGGAGGGGGGGGGGGGGGGGAACAGATGTATCATCATCCAGAATTATAAAGGACGGTAAATGTCAGACATACAGTGAAGGAAATGCGTATTTGCTCCCCGGCTGATGTTGAATGTTCGCCCCTCACAAAGAAATGATCGGTCTAACAATGGAATGTTCGCCCCTCACACAGAAATGATCGGTCTAACAATGGAATGTTCGCCCCTCACACAGAAATGATCGGTCTAAGAATCGAATGTTCGGTGTAACACTGAGAGACAGAATACAACAACAAATTCAGCAGAAATGCGTCTAACAAATGATGACTGATCTGCATGTTCATGAGGGAAAGAAGGATTTGATCCCCTATTATTCAGCAGGATTTCTGGCTCCCAGGTGTCTCTCTCATACAGGTAACAAGCTGAGATTAGAAGCAGTCTCTTAAAGGGAGTGCTGCTAATCTCATTGTGTTACCTGTATAAAAGACACCTGTCCACAGGAGCAATCAAACCATCAGATTCCAAACTCTCCACCATGGCAAAGACCAAAGAGCTGTCCAAGGATGTCAGGGACAAGATGGTAGACCTACACAAGGCTGGACTGGGCTACCAAACTATGGCCAAGCAGCTTGGTGAGAAGGTGACAACAGTTGGTGCAATCATTCACAAATGGAAGAAACACAAAACAAGTGTCAGTCTCCCTAGGTCTGGTGCACCATGCAAGATCTCCCCTCGTGGAGTGTCAATGATCATGAGAACAGTGAGGAATCATCCCAGAACTACACGTGAGGATCTTGTCAATGATCTTCAGGCAGCTGGGACCACAGTCACCAAGAAAACAATTGGTAACACACTACGCCGACAAGGACTGAAATCCTGCAGTGCCCGCAAGGTCCCTCTGCTCAAGAAAGCCCATGTCCAGGCCCGTCTGAAGTCTGCCACTGAACATCTGAATGATGCCGAGGAGGACTGGTGGGAAGTGTTGTGGTCAGATGAGACCAAAATCCAGCTCTTTGGCATCAATTCAACTCGCCGTGTTTGGAGGAGGAGGAATGCTGCCTATGACCCCAAGAACACCATCCCAACTGTGAAACATGGTGGTGGAAACATTCTGCTTTGGGGGTGTTTTTCTGCTAAGGGGACAGGACAACTGCACCGCCTCAAAGGGACAATGGACGGGGCAATGTACCCTCAAATCTTGGGTGAGAACCTTCTTCCCTCAGCCAGGGCATTGAAAATGGGTGGTGGATGGGTGTTCCAGCATAACAATGACCCAAAACACATGGCCAAGGCAACAAAGGAGTGGCTCAAGAAGAAGCACATTAAGGTCCTGGAGTGGCCTAGCCAGTCTCCAGACCTTCATCCGAATGAAAATCTGTGGAGGGAGCTGAAAGTTCGAGTTTCTAAACGTCAGCCACCAAACCTTAATGACTTGGAGAGGATCTGCCAAGAGGAGTGGGCCAAAATCCCTCCTGAGATGTGTGCGAACCTGGGGGCCAACTCCAGGAAACGTCCGACCTCTGTGATTGCCAACAAGGGATTGACCACCAAGTACTAAGTCATGTTTTGTGAAGGGGATCCAATCCTTCTTTCCCTCATGAACATGCAGATCAGTCATCATTTGTTAGACGCATTTCTGCTGAATTTGTTGTTGTATTCTGTCTCTCAGTGTTACACCGAACATTCGATTTTTAGACCGATCATTTCTGTGTGAGGGGCAAACATTCAACATCAGCCGGGGAGCAAATACGCATTTCCTTCACTGTAGCTCATCCAACATCATGTGAAAATCTGCCAACAGAATAGGCAACATTTAGCTGATGATTCCACCATGCAGTCCAACGTCATACCCGTTGGCTATGTAACCGGGACGGGTAGCCCATTGTCCTCGGGGGAAAGACTGACTGCCAATCAACAGCCTAAAACTGACCACACACATTAAAATGTAATTATACAATTAATGCGGCACCAATCAGTGTGCCTGATCTAGCCCCTCCCCCTGCCCCTCCTACCTGCCATGGTGTGCCCAGGCTTGGCTCCTTGAAGTGCACAGGAACTGCTGGTGGTGGGGGGCATGCAGGGAGATTGGCAGGATGAGGTCTGGCCATGTGTGGGTGGCAGGAGACCTGTGTGGCTTAGCAGATGGGTTAATGAGTCGCACAGGCTGGCGATGTGGTGCTGGTCCAAGCTCCAGTTCTTGAGCTCGGCCTGGCGCAGGCTCTCCATGAGGTCTGGGGAACAAAGAAATAAAAAATGATGTTTACAGTTCTTCATATATTTAATCAGTTGTCAGGGCCCAGAGATGTTCCATGATGTCACCGGGCAGAAATGGGTGACAACTGGAACACCACATGAGACACACTCAAGCAAGGGAGATCGGGGACAGTCCACTGGCTGGGGGTTGGAACCTCCTGGATGATAAAGTGAGCACTAAGTACGTGGATGGTGACCATGTGGTGCTTCCTTTAAACGTATGCAGATATATCTCTGGAAAAGAAGCAATGACTTCTGGGTAAAGGCCTTCTTCATAAGTCTCTAGGTGATGGCCCTACAGGATCAGCCCAGCTCTGCCTGTCCTCTGAAGGTTACTGGTTTGGTCTGTGGATGTTCTTCAACAGTCAAATGGAGATCCTGGCCTCCCCATGACGTACTCCTTGTGTACAATCATATATGGACATGTCTGTGTCATACACGATATTGCCCCAAGTATTGGGCTGCCGGCCTTTCCACGCCCATGACCTTTAATGGCCCCCCAGTCTCAGTCCGTAGGCTTCAATATTGAGTTGGCCCCGCCCTTTCCACACACATGGACTGTCATGGCCCCCTAGTCTTAGTCTGTAGGGTTCAATATTGAGTTGGCCCCGCCCTTTGCAGCTATAACAGCTTCAACTCTTCTGGGAAGGCCGTCTACAAGGTTTAGGAGGGTGTCTATGGGAAGGTTGGACCATTCTTCCAGAAGCACATTTGTCAGGTCAGGCACTGATGTCGGGGGAGGAGGCCTGGCTCGCAGTCTCCGCTCTAATTCATCCCAAAGGTGTTCTATGGGGTTGAGGTCAGGACTCTGTGCAGGACAGTCAAGTTCCTCCACCCCAAACTGGTTCCTCCATGTCTTTATGGACCTTGCTTTGTGCACTGGTGCGCAGTCATGTTGGAATAGGAAGGGGCCATCCCCAAACTCTTCCCACAAGGTTGGGAGCATGAAATTGTCCAAAATGACGCCTTAAGAGTTCCCTTCACTGGAACTAGGGGGCCAAGCCCAAACCCTGAAAAACAACCCCACACCATAATCCCCCCTCCACCAAACTCTACACTTGGCACAATGCAGTCAGGCAAGTACCGTTCTCCTGGCCACCACCAAACCTAGACACGTCCGTCAGATTGCCAGACAGAGAAGCGTGCTTGATCACTCCAGAGAACGTCTTCTCTGCTCTAGAGTCCAGTGGCGGCGTGCTTTACACCACGGCATCCGACGCTTTGCATTGCACTTGGTGATGGAAGGCTTGGATGCAGCTGCTCGACCATGGAAACCCATTCCATGAAGCTCTCAACGCTCTGTTGTTGGGCTCATCTGAAGGCCACACCAAGTTTGGAGGTCTTTAGCTATTGACTCTGCAGACAGTTCGCGACTTCTGCGCACTGTGCGCTTCAGCATGCGCTGACCCCGCCCTGTCATGTGACGTGGCCTACCACTTGGTGGCCAAGTGACTGTTGTTCCCAGTGGCTTCCACTTTGTTATAATCCCACTAACAATTGAGCGTGGAATATTTAGTAGCCAGGAAATGTCACGGATGGACTTATTGCCCAGGTGGCCACCTATCACGGGACCACGCTTGGAGTCACTGAGCTCCTGAGAGCGACCCATTCTTATACCAATGTTTGTAAAAGCCGTCTGCATGCCTAGGGGCTTGATTGTATACACCTGTGTCCATGGAGGGGATTGGAACACCCGAATCACATGATATGGAGGTGATTGGAACACCCGAATCACATGATATGGAGGGGATTGGAACACCCGAATCACATGATTGGGAGGGGATTGGAACACCTGAATCACATGATATGGAGGGGATTGGAACACCTGAATCACATGATATGGAGGGGATTGGAACACCTGAATCATATGATATGGAGGGGATTGGAACACCTGAATCACATGATTTGGGGGGGGCAATACTTTGGGCAATATAGTGTATATTCCACTTGGATGCTATAAGCTGCACTGAGTAAACAAAACTGAATAAAACAAAAACTGTGTCTGTCTTCATTTCAGGCTGCAAAGCAAGGAGATGTGATTATTTGAACGGGGGGAGGGATTTTTCTTTTATCCCCCCTGTATATCTGTACATTGCAGGGCATGTGGAGCAACACCAATACATACGTTCCAATACAGTGCGTTTTGAATGGCACCCCAACAACGCACATTCCTGGCACTGCGTACTTTTGAGCAGCCTAAAGTCCAGTTCTTGAGACCTTTATTCATCTACATGTATTACTGACCTCAGGTTGGCGGTTAGATGGAGTGAGTGGGCTATTGTTATGTTCTGTTGACCAAGGGAGCTGGGGAATGCCCAGAGGCTGTTTTGTACCACCTTTATATTGCAAAATTAGAAGAAAAAAAAAGAATTTAAAAAAATAAAAATAAAATAAAAAATTAAAAGAAAAGAAAAAAAGAATTAAAAGAATAAAAATAATTAAATGAATGAAAAAAGATTAAAAAAAAGAATTAAAAGAAAAAAATTTAAAAAAAAGAAAAATAAAATAAAAAGAATTAAAAGAAAAATAATAAAATAAAAATAAATGAATGAAAAAATAAAAAAAAGAATTAAGAACAAAATTTAAAAAAAGAAAAAAATAAAATAAAAAGAAGAAAAAAGAATAAAATAAAAATAAATGAATGAATGAATGAATGAAAAAATAAAAAAAGAATTAAAAGAAAAAAATGTAAAAAAAGAAAAATAAAATAAAAAAAGTTTAAAAAAAAGAATTAAAAAAAAGAAAAGAAAAAAAAGAATTAAAAGAAAAAAAAAAAAAAGATTTTTAAGACCTTTTGGTGTTCTGGCAGTCCATGGATTTTAATGAGCTGCGATTAATGCAATGCAGAGCTGCACCAGATTTTGCACCCTCCAGTTTTAGTAAATAACCGCCCCCCCATTGCCTCCTCTCAGTAATGTGAATCTCTGGCGTGTCTCACCTGAGAACTGGGAAAGGTCTACGGTGGACCAGTCCAGGTTACTGACGATCTTGAAGCTCTCCTTTAGGGAGTCGATGTTGGAACACCAGTCGCTGGGGAGACCTGGATGGATGAAGCGGAGCAAAGTGAGAGTTAGACAAATGCAAAGAGAAAAAAAAATCATTTTGTTGTTTGACTCATTTCAATGGGTTCATTCGTTTAATTCATTTTTTTGGAATTCGTTTCATTGATTCAAATTTGAATTTGACAGAATTCAAAAATAATTCTAAGGGATTGAAAACCATTCTGATGGATTCGGAAAACAATTCTCCCGTTACTGAAGGGAAATGTATGTCTTTTTTGTCTGTCATTTTGTTTTCCCCTCCATTCTATACTTTGTACTCCATGTTGATTGTTTTATATTATACCCAGAATGAGGTCATGAAAATATGCTGTCAGTTATGTTACAGAACTGAGCTCACAATATTCTCGTGTTTCTGATCTTAGCCTTGGTGGGGGCAGGGAAAGGATCCAGTTATTCCTTTGTATTAACAGCATCTGTTTCTGCTATGATATAGTAAAAGTCAAATACTTCTGTTCCACGGGAAACAACTGTTGGTTACTTGTAACTGATTTCAAGGCCTGAGAAGTCTCACCTTCACAGCCTTGACAAGTATCCAGCGAAATCCTATTCTATGGTTTTCTTTGTTACAATATAAGAAGGAGAATCTACGAATAAAGATTCAGATCGTCTCCTGGAAACCTCTGTGTCTGCATGTTAATTTCTTCCTTCCAGAACACAGTCTCTTGGGCCCAATGGAAGATCGGAACCTACCAATGGTCATTAGAAGCACAACTCCCTTTCAGTTACGATCCATCGTTCACCGGCCATGTGTGGTTTTCATGGTATCCGGGTTATAGCGAGAGTTGCGCGACCTTATCGGAAATTTATTTTTCTTTTCAGCAAAACTTTTCACCGTTGTTGATCACTACTCACATCACCACAATTTTTGTTTTGTAAAGTATATTAGTCTTTTCTATTCTACTCTATTATAATAATTTTCTATTTTCATGCTATTCAACATTCAAATTTTGGAAGACATATTTGTTTTATTCTATTTTATTGTTTTTCTATTCTATTCTTTGATTTTATATCCTATTCTAATATAACTGATTCTATTCTTTGCCTTTATTTTCTATTCTATTCTTTCATATTTTTATTCTAATCTTTTCTATTCTATTCTTTGATTTTATATCCTATTCTAATATAACTGATTCTATTCTATGCCTTTATTTTCTATTCTATTCTTTTATATTTTTATTCTAATCTTTTCTATTCTTTTCTTTGATTTTATATCCTATTCTCATTTATATGATTCTATTCTATGCCTTTATTTTCTATTCTATTCTTTTATATTTTTAATTCTAATCTTTTCTATTCTTTTCTTTGAATTTATATCCTATTCTATTCTATGCCTTTTATTTTCTATTCTGTTTTGTTCTGTTTTACTCTATTCTATTCTTTGAATTTCTATCCTAATCTTTTATATTTATTTTATTTTTTCTATTCTATTCTTTTTCTATTCTATTCTTTTGTATTTAAATTGATTCTATTCCTTTATCTTCTAGTCTGTTTTGTTCTGTTTTACTTTATTCTATTTTTTGATTTTCTATTCTAACGGATTCTATTCTTTTCTATTCTCATAATTTCTATTCTATTGTATTCTGTTTTACTCTATTCTATTCTTTGATTTCTTATCCTAATCTTTTTTTGTCTAATTCTATTATTTTTCTATTGTAATCTTTTCTATTCTTTGATTTTCTATTCGAATGGATTCTATTCTTTTCTATTCCCATAATTTCTATTCTATTGTATTCTGTTTTACTCTATTCTATTCTTTGATTTCCTATCCTAATCTTTTCTATTCTAATTGATTCTATTATTTTTCTATTGTAATCTTTTCTATTCTTTGATTTTCTATTCTATTCTTTTCTATTCTAATTGATTCTATTCCTGTATCTTCTATTCTATTTTGTTCTGTTTTACTCTATTCTATGATTTTTTTATTCTAATAGATTCTATTATTTTCTATTCTTTGATGCTCTATTCTATTTTGTTCTGTTTTACTCTATTCTATTCTTTGATTTTCTATACTAATCTTTCCTGTTCTATTCTAATTGATTCTATTTTTTTCTATTCTATTTTATTTGATTCTATTATCTTCTATTCTATTCTTTTCGATTCTATTCCTGTATCTTCTATTCTATTTTGTTCTGTTTTACTCTATTCTATGATTTTTTTATTCTAATAGATTCTATTATTTTCTATTATTTGATGTTCTATTCTATTTTGTTCTGTTTTACTCTATTCTATTTTTTGATTTTCTATTCTAATGGACTCTATTCTTTTCTATTCTTTTATTTTCTATTCAATTTCTTTATTTTTTGTTCTATTTTATTCTATTCTTGTTTTCAAATTCTAATGCGTTTTTCAAATGTGTTTTGGAATACAAATTGATTCGAATTTCGGCCGAATTTCTTTTGTTATTTCAGATTAATTTTAGTTTGTTACTCAGATATTACAGAAAATTTGTCCGAATTTCAATTCGGGAACGAAGCGAACTGCACACCGATCCATACACGGCAGGATACGAGAGACTTACCCAGAGGCATGCTGGGGGCAGCTGGCCGGGACATCTGCTGGGAGGGTAGGTAGGGCGGCTGCTGGTGCTGGGCTTGGTGGTGAAGAAGATTGGGGGTTGCTGATGCTGGGGACATTGTGGGGGTGCAGCGACGAGGACTCCCCTGAATTCTGCTGGTACATGCAGCAGCTGGCGGAAGGTGGGGGAGGGGGTGGTGGTGGTTGTTGGACATCAGTGGGGAGAGGAGAGAGTCCTGAGGATAGAGATGAGGAGAGTCACATACTGGAGAAGAAACACCGATCACCTACAGCTCACTAGGTGCTGATCTATGGGGGGAACCTGTCACTCTGATCTATGGGGGGGAACCGGTCACTCTGATCTATGGGGGGGAACCTGTCACTCTGATCTATGGGGGGAACCTGTCACTCTGATCTATGGGGGGGAACCTGTCACTCTGATCTATGGGGGGAACCTGTCACTCTGATCTATGGGGGAACCTGTCACTAGCTGACCCGGGTGTAACCTAACCTACCGCTACCGGCCAGTGGAAGTTCTGCTCACGGGAATCCCCTCATCTGGGGAACACGCAGGACCCCAATTCTAATATTGTATGGAAAGACCGATTCATTGTATTTTTAGCTTTGGATACTAGAGGGAAGGTCAGATCGTGCTGAACCGGCTCATTCCATGGGTGGCCCCATCACCAACACACAAATGATTTTTCAATCGACTTTTGTTGGGTGAAAAATTGTCAGCCAGTTCGCTCAGATGCAGCCACTGTTCAGGTATTCCGACAGCCGTGGGTTCTGGGTACCAGCACTGCAGATCTGAGTATTCATGCTGTTTTAGTGTGTATGGGGGAATCAAGTGGTTCCTCTTGTTCGGGCTGAATTTGAGAAATCTGAACGTGTATGGCCAATCTACAGTCAATGGGGAGCCGCAGAGCTACTAATGCAAACCCTGCTTGGCCAGTTCTGTACTCCTTCTCCACGAGTGGAAAATTCCATTCCTTCCTACCAACGGGACACATCATAGATACATTGACACCAATGATGGGGCACTATTCATCCCACTGACACCAATGATGGGGCATTATTCATCCCACTGACACCAATGATGGGGCACTATTCCTCCCACTGACACCAATGATGGGGCACTATTCCTCCCACTGACACCAATGATGGGGCACTATTCATCCCACTGATAACAATGATGGGGGACTATTCCTCCCACTGATACCAATGATGGGGCACTATTCCTCCCACTGACACCAATGATGGGGCACTATTCCTCCCACTGATACCAATGATGGGGCACTATTCCTCCCACTGACAGCAATGACGGGGCACTATTCCTCCCACTGATACCAATGATGGGGCACTATTCCTCCCACTGACACCAATGACGGAGCACTATTCCTCCCACTGACACCAATGATGGGGCACTATTCCTCCCACTGACACCAATGACGGGGCGCTATTCCTCCCACTGATACCAACGATGGGACGCTATTCCTCCCACTGACACCAATGATGGGGCACTATTCCTCCCACTGATACCAATGATGGAACGCTATTCCTCCCACTGACACCAATGATGGGGCACTATTCCTCCCACTGACACCAATGATGGAACGCTATTCCTCCCACTGACACCAATGATGGGGCACTATTCCTCCCACTGACACCAATGATGGGGCACTATTCCTCCCACTGACACCAATGATGGGGCACTATTCCTCCCACTGACACCAATGATGGGGCACTATTCCTCCCACTGACACCAATGATGGGGCACTATTCCTCCCACTGACACCAATGATGGGGCACTATTCCTCCCACTGACATCAATGATGGGGCACTATTCCTCCCACTGACACCAATGATGGGGCACTATTCCTCCCACTGACACCAATGATGGGGCACTATTCCTCCCACTGACACCAATGACGGGGCACTATTCCTCCCACTTACACCAATGACGGGGCACTATTCCTCCCACTGATACCAATGACGGGGCACTATTCCTCCCAGTGACACCAATGACGGGGCACTATTCCTCCCACTGACACCAATGACGGGGCACTATTCCTCCCACTGACACCAATGACGGGGCACTATTCCTCCCACTGACACCAATGATGGGGCACTATTCCTCCCACTGACACCAATGATGGAGCACTATTCCTCCCACTGACACCAATGATGGGGCACTATTCCTCCCACTGATACCAATGATGGGGCACTATTCCTCCCACTGACACCAATGATGGAGCACTATTCCTCCCACTGATACCAATGATGGGGCACTATTCCTCCCACTGACACCAATGATGGGGCACTATTCCTCCCATTGACACCAATGATGGGACACTATTCCTCCCACTGACACCAATGATGGGGCACTATTCCTTCCACTGACACCAACGATGGGGCACTATTCCTCCCACTGACACCAACGATGGGGCACTATTCCTCCCACTGACACCAACGCTGGGGCACTATTCCTCCCACTGACACCAATGTCGAAGTGCGAAAGGATACTGAAATGTTCTTCGAGTCAGCTCAGTCTTGGGTATATGCTGCACTACCTGGCCGGTCACCTTCCTGCACTACCCTCCTCCATTCTCACCCTGTTTACCCTGCAATGTACGGTACAGGCTGCGGAAGGAACAGCTGAGGTCGGGGATTTCCGAGAAGGAAAATTTGTAGCAGTCGTTGTTGTTGAAGGACGGGGCCCTGGAGTCCGGCGGCATGTGAGCCGGGGCGGCCTGTGGGCGAGAACAGAGACGTCACAGGGTTAGGGGGTCAGTTAGTTAGGGGTTAGGAAAGTACATTGTATCTGCAGTCATGGCTTATACTGAGCTAACCTCAAAGGGTTGCAGCCACGAACGCGTGTCGTCTTTTCATGTAAAAGTGATCCAGGGGGCTCGTGAACCGCCCCAGTCACTTTTTCCCCCCCCCGGTCATGGCGATTCCTGAGTTTTCCTCCCCATTCCTCTGGGGAGCCCAGGGCCACAATAAAATGCCTGAAAACAATTGAAGATACCTCCTCCACTAGGCCACCACTCATTCCCACCTAGAACCAGTGTTGTCCAGAGGTCATCACATTGATGGTATCCACACCTCCAAAATCCATAGGGCCGCTACAAGGATCCCAAGAAGACACCACCCATAGAGAAGGCCAGTCCAGTCATATGGGAAGCCTTTACTTCCCTGCTGGGCAGACTTTCATGGCGGTCAATATTCCCATATGGCTAGACTGGCCTTCTCTATGGGTGGTGTCTTCTTGGGATCCTACGGATTCTGGAGGTGTGGATACCATCAATTCGATGACCCCGGCAGATGGTGGTTTTACCGGTTTCCCTTCTTGGACATCTGCATTGAAACGTGTTTTATTGATCCACGCCGTGATCCTCCACTATACCGATTTGCTCCCCCGAGGAAGGAACTTCGTTCCGAAACATGTTGGGAGTTATGGGAAGAATACACCGCGGCCAATCACGACGTATCTACATTGGTGTATCTAATCCATTCGGGTAGATGTTGGTCAATCCAGTTAGAGGACCACACCTTTGTTTTATCATTTTATACCGGCCATGTGGCTGTTGTTGTTATAAAGATTGACAATTGGTCTTTTAACAGCTTTAGCTCCGCCCAGAGGCAGACTGACAACTCATGGGGCCCCCAGGCAATAGGGGATCATGGGGCCCCTGTGTCCTTGCCCAAACTCCAAAAAGCCTATGAAAAAGGTACCAGGGGCATCTCATGGGGCCCCCTACTGACCCCGGGCCCTCGGGCAGTGCCCGAGTTTCCAAATGGTCAGTCAGCCCCTGTCTCCGCCCCATAGCGGTAATACTGCTACAGGGTGGCAGGGGTGCGCAAAATCACATATATATAATAATAATTTATATATATATATATATATATATATATAATATACATATTTATAGGGCGTGCGTGAGCACTGCCCGCGCCCCCATTCTTGGCCACAGCTGTCAATCACTGGGTTCCGGCCGGTGAATACTCGCTGGCGCCCAGTGATTTGCCGAGCATCTCCGACAGGGAGAACTGTTTGTAAACAATACAGATCTCTCCCGTCAGCTCCTGCACACTGCTTTGTATAGCTCTGCATAGCACAGCCATACAAAGCAGCATGGTTACAGTAAAGCACACACACACAGCCTCATAGTAAAACAGCACACAGTTAACCCTTTGATCGCCCCGGATGTTAACCCCTTCTTGCCCAGTGCCATTAGTACAGTGTCACTGCTTTTTATTAGCACTGATCACTGTATTGGTGTCACTGGGGATGTCAGTGACAGCAAGTCAGTTCCCCCCCCCGTGTCAGAATGCCGCCGCAGTCCCTCTATAAGTTGCTGATCGCCGCCATTACTAGTAAAAAGAAAAATCCCAGTATCTATACCGCCATTTGTAAATGTCATAACTTTCACGTAAAACCAATTAATTTACATGTTTTGGGATTTGTTTTTTAGCAAAGACATGGAGCAGAAAACATTTTGGCCTAAAATGACGAAATTTGATTTTTGACATTTTTTTACTGGATGTGTTTAATAGCAAAAACTCTGAAATATTGTTTTTTTTCTCAAAATTTTAGTTTTTTCTTTGTTTTTTTTAGCGCAAAAAATAAAAACGCACAGGTGATCAAATGCCACCGATAGAAAGCTCAATTTGTGGAAATAAAAGGATGTAAATTTCATTCGGGTGCAGCGTTGCATGACCGCGCAATTGTCAGTTAAAGTAACGCAGCGCTGTATCGCAAAAAATGGCCTGGTCAGGAAGGGGGGGGGGGGGAATACTCTGCAGGGGGAGGAGGGGGGTGGAGGTTTCCTCTGCAGGGGGAGGGGGGGGGGAATCCTCTGGAGGGAAAGTGGTTATGTAAGGGCAGATGACTCATGTAGCATTTAGACTCCTGGGATGTATAACATCATTTGCCTAGGCATAGAAACCAGGAAGTAACTGAAGAAATGTTAAAACAAAATCGCCATAACACAAAAAATGGCCTGAGGGGGGGCGGAATCCACCAAAGGGGAGGGGGGGAATCCTTTGCAGGGGGAGGGGATGGGGGGAATCCTCTGGAGGGAAAGTGGTTATGTAAGGGCAGATGATTCATGTAGCGTTTACTTCTTGGAATCCATCTGCCCTTAGCTCAAGCATGCATGCAGAAGGGTGTGCTTAGCTGAGAACCCCCCCCCCCCTCCCCCAAAGACTCCTGGGATGTATGACATAATTTGCCTAGGCATAGAAACCAGGAAGTAACTGAAAAAGTGTAAAAACAAAAACGCCATAACGCAAAAAAATGGCTTGGTCAGGAAGGGGGGAAATCCTCTGGAGGGGAGGGGGGATGGGAAAATCCTCTGGAGGGGGAGGGGGGATGGGTTAGGGGTTAACATATTGTATGTTTGATACCTCCCTGCCTTCAAAGTCCCATGGGGATTCTCTAACTTTTTGGTCTTGTTTTTTCTGTATGTGACTTTCCGGCCCTACTTTGATGCGTCCCGAGCGCCAGAGAGTCGCATCAAAGTCGCACTCCAAATCCTGCGACTCTGGAGGCGCACAAGTGGGAGCGGTGCCTAAGGCTTCCCAAAACCGGAAAACAAAAATACGTGTCGCAGATTTTCAGCGCTAACGCAGGACACAGACGGTTCGTTTATCGGCTGATTTTTCGTCCGAAAAACGAAACATCGGTCATTCTGCTGCCGACGATTGCGAAAATCGGGCGTTTTTCACAAATTTTCCAGCATTACCGATAAAAGAAATGAGGAGGAACCTCGAAAATCGGCCGATGCCATTGCCCCACTAACGGTGCAAATATCGGCCGATAAACGAACCGTCTATGGCCCGCATTAGAAGTGGTGACCGCATTAGTGTTACTTTCTCACCTTTTCTCGCGTTCACTCACCTGGCTGTAGCTGGGGAGGGGGAATTGTTCTCCATGTGGTGTCCCTGTGCGTTCTCGGTGGACACAGACACGTCGCTGGTGTTGCTCAGGGGGCTCTTATTGACTTCCTGTTCGGTGGAATCCTGGGAGAGCTGCAGATGACACACAGAGATCTCCATTACAACCGGACACTATGATCTTCTATGACAGGAGAGCAATATGGGGGCGACCTCGGTCCACACAATGCCCGCCAGCAGTCCCTGACCTCATAGTCCTGGGCTCACACGTGTGGGACATCACATGTGAATCGCACCGCATTCCTGTGCAGATCGCACGCAGTGTCTGCGAGGTGCGATGAGCCAATCGTTATGTATGTCTCAAATCGCAACGCACCCAAAATGGCGCTGGACCCTTTTTTTCTGCAACACCTGAATCGCATCGCATCCGATTCTGGCAAACACACTGCGTTTTGCAACCTGTTTCGGGGTGCCATTAGTTTATCGATGACACCCGTACCAGATCACATGACTCCCTGCGATTTCAATGCAATTTTTTTGTTAATGAATAAATTCTTCCTAGTATTGGTTTTTATTATCACACCCAAACATGTAGATCCTCCTCCACTAGGCCACCCATTCCCAGATAGAACCACTGTTGGTGGCTGAATTCCACCCAGTACTGGCTATCCCTGCCCCCATCAAGAAACTGGATCCTCCTCCACTTGACCACCACTGCCAACCAAAACCAGTGTTAATTAATAAAACTCCCCCCCCCCAGTATTGGCTGTCCTTATCACCCCAAAGCATGTAGATCCTCCTCCACTAGGCCACCCATTCCCAGCTAGAACAACTGTTAGTGGCTAAACTTCTCCCAGTACTGGCTGTTCCTACCCCTTTCAAGCAAACTGGATCCTCCTCCACTAGGCCACCACTCATTCCCAGCCAAAACCAATGTTAATGGTTCTTCCTTGTATTGGCTTTTATTATCACACCCAAACATGTAGATCCTCCTCCACTAGGCCACTACTCTTTCCCAGCTAGAACCTGTGTTTGTGGCTGAACTCCCCCAGTACTGGCTGTCCCTACCCCCATCAAGCAACTGGATCCTCCTCCACTAGACCACCACTTGTTCCCAACCAAAACCGGTGTTAACTAATAAACTCCCCCTAATATTGGCTGTCCTTATCACCCCAAAGCATGTAGGTCCTCCTCCACTAAGCCACCACTCATTCACAGCTAGCTGTTTCCACACTAGCCACCACCAATTCCCAGCCAAAACCAGTGTTAGTGGCTGAATTCCACCCACTAGGTACTGGCTGTGTTTGTGGCTGTCCCTGTACTGGCCCCATCAAGCAACTGGATCCTCCTCCACTGGACCACCACTCGTTCCCAACCAAAACCGGTGTTAATGAATAAGTTCTTCCTAGTATTGGCTTTTATTATCACACCCAAACATGTAGATCTTCCTCCACTAGGCCACCACTCATTCACAGCTAGAACCACTGTTGGTGGCTGAATTCCACCCAGTACTGGCTATCCCTGCCCCCATCAAGCAACTGGATCCTCCTCCACTAGACCACCACTCGTTCCCAACCAAAACAGTGTTAATTAATAAACTCCCCCCCAGTATTGGCTGCCCTTATCACCCCAAAGCATGTAGATCCTCCTCCACTAGGCCTCCCATCCCCAGATAGAACCACTGTAAGTGGATAAACTTCTCCCAGTACTGGCTGTCCCTACCCCTGTCAAGCAACTGGATCCTCCTCCACTAGGCCACCACTCATCATTCCCAGACAAAACCAATGTTAATGGTTCTTCCTTGTATTGGATTTTATTATCACACCCAAACATGTAGATCCTCCTCCACTAGGCCACCACTCTTTCCCAGCTAGAACCTGTGTTCGCGGCTAAACTACCCACAGTACTGCCTGTCCCTACCCTGTCAAGCAACTGGATCCTCCTCCACTAGGCCACCACTCGTTCACAACCAAAACTGGTTTTAATTATTAAACGCCCCCTATTATTGGCTGTCCCCAGCACCCCCAAGCATGTAGATCCGCTCCAGTAAGCCTCACTCACTCCCAACTAGTGTTAGTGGCTAAAACTCCCCCCTAGTGCTGGCTCTCCCTACCCCCATCAAGCATGTAGATCCTCCTCCACTAGACCACCACTCGTTCCCAGCTAGAACCAGTGTTAGTGGCTAAACACCCCCCAGTATTGGCTGTCCCTACCCCCATCAAACAAATGGATCCCCCTCTACTAGGGCACCACTCATTCCTAACCAAACCAGGTGTTAATAAATAAATTCCCCCCCAGTATTGGCTGTCCCTACCCCCATCAAACAAGTGGATCCCTCCTCTACTAGTCCACCGCTTGCCCCCAACTAGAACACAAGTTCAATCAATGGTCTCCGTCTCAGCCTCATCTCTGTCTAGGGCAGGGGTGTCAAACTGGTGGTCCCTCCAGCTGTTGCAAAACTCCAAGTCCCATCATGCTTCTGTCTTTGGGAACCGTGCTTCTAACTGTCAATCTTGCAATGCCTCATGGGACTTGTAGTTTGGCAACAGCTGGAGGGCCACCAGTTTGACACCTGTGATCTAGGGGATCGGCAGTATTCCAACTTTCCTGCAAAGGGGACAGTGAGCTCACATTCTCTGTGCCGTACGTCTTGCCCTCTACCAGCCAACACCTCCTCCAACTCCTTCCATAAATACCTATTGGAAACACCACTTGAGTGACAGGGACCATCACTCCTAAAGGTGGGAGGTCCTGGCTAAGAGGCCTTCTACAAGATCAGGAGACTGACTGCTTCCAGATTATTCACTCCATTCCTTTTTTCTTCCTATAGAAATGTGTGTGGGTGGCAGGACCGGAACAAGGGGTGGGTGGGAGGGGCGGCTGCCCTGGGCGCCATGGTTTGCTATAGGGATGGGGGTGCCTTCCTTCCTTTACAAGGCTCTTAGGAGCAGTGGCAGTTATTTTGACAAGCGAGTGACTGCTGGGTGTAGGATCCCCTAAGCTTGCACATCATGAATCAGTAGAGGAGGGTTTCAGTTTGGCATCTTTGCTCTGGGCACTGGATGACCTTTTCCTGGCCCTGGTGGGTGGAGCTAAAATGATGGGGGTGTAACACAGCTGCAATCACCTCGTCATCGGGATGTGGCCTCTTCCTCCGGGGCAGGGCTACGTCTTCTTTTGGACAGCTGTCAATCATCCAATAGGATCCCTGGGAGACACAGGGCAGAATTTGCATCAGTTAAGACTTTCATGATTCCTTTTCCCATTTACTTCCTATTTCTGGGATCCCTCAAAGCTCCTTTATGAACCTCCTCTACGGCGGGAAGAGGGTATTTGAAGTGGATCCGTTTAGAGAAGTATGTACACAGTGCGAAGCAGGGGCGGACTGAGCATTTGGAAACTCGGGCACTGCCCGAGGGCCCGGGGTCAGTAGGGGGCCCCCGTGAGATACCCCTGGTACCTTTTTCATAGGCTTTTTTGAATATGGGCAAGGACACAGGGGCCCCATGATCCCCTATTTCCCGGGGGCCCCATGTGTTGTCAGTCCGCCCCTGGTGCGAAGTGAACCTGTGCTTTGAGCACTCACGTTCCACTTTAATTCCCTCTCCCAGCAGCACATTACCCTCCTTCCTCCCCCCCCTCCCCCAACCCCAATCAAATCAGCCACCCGGAGGACCCCCTACGTGAGCTTACATGGGGCCTGTGGACAGCTTCGCAACAGAGCGATTGGTCCACTGCTGTCACATGCTACTCCATATGTCAAAATAAAAAAAGTTAATTGTCCCCCCCTGATGCTGAATATGGAGGAGCGAAGGAAAAGCAAATGTGATTTGCTGGGGAGGGCTCTTTTAGAGAACCTGGAATGGATAAATACAGATATGGGTGGGGGGAGGGGGGGGAGTATACACGCTCCTGGCAGCTGCAGCCCCCAGGAGTGTGTGTAAATGTGACAAGCTAACTGCCAGACCACTTCCCCCCCCCCACCCATGCACGCCCCCCCACCATGCTTCCTGGGCTCCGCATGCCCATCAGGGGATGGATGGAGGGAAGATCGGTGAACGTCTGTTCCCTGATCTCCCCTTCCCACGAATGACCTGGAAGCTACATGTAAAAAGTCCCTTCTGGGTCGTGGTGTCACTAACTGGGGTGGGAAGAAACTAATAGTGTGATCTGCGTTCCACTGGGGGGTAGGAGAGACATCAGCGGTCCTTTAGACCCCCTAAAGTCTCGATGAAGGGAAACCTGTCACCAAAAATGCATCAAACGGGCCTTTTTTTGTCCCCTACGTGAAGAAAAAAAAAGGGTTTAGTTACAAAAAAAATGTTAACGTGTAAAAAATGACCTAAGCATCCAACACCCCCCCCCCCAAAAAAAAAGTTTTTATTTTTTGAGCACCCCCTCAGATATGAACATATGAAAGTAAATGCCTGCCTCCGTGTGTATTTATCAGTTGTGCTGCACGCTACATATTGCTGCACACGCCGGCGTGATCTAGGCCCATGATTTGTCGCGAAGATTGTCGCGGTTTCCTGGGCGCATGCAATGTTAAAGTGATTGTGATTTAAAAATTAAAAATATAGCTTTACAAACATGTTCTACTTACCTGCTCTGTAATGGATTTGCACCCCTGCTTTTCAGGGGTCCCTTGCTGGCGATCTTGGCTCCCCCCCGCTGAGCGCATGTTCACTCCCTAACTGATTTTACGTGTTCATAGACACACAGAGCTTGGCTCCACCCTGCCCCCTCCTCACTGGCTGTGACTGACAGCAGCAGGAGCCAATGACTCCCACTGCTGTCTCTGAGCCAATGAGGATCGAGAGAGCCAGTGCTCTGGGGAACATAAGGTGGGCGGGGATGGAAATGACAAAGATTTCTTTTTTTTACTATAGTGCAGAAAAAAAAATCTCCTCTGATGTGAATACTTTCCTTCCAGTGAACCCTCCTGGTCTATGGGCAGGTAGGTACCATGGACAGGACGCTGGCCCTCCAATCCCCCCACTGTCTGGAATTCATGCTGACCTTTCCTGGGTCGTCCCTGGGGGGCGCGGCACTTTCCGGAAACACTTGTTCAGAGACAGGTTGTGGCGGATCGAGTTCTGGAAGACACAAAATATTGACAATCAGTATCACTTTTCACAATGGCCACCATGGCGTAGACTGATCCCCAGTAGAGGTAGGCAACCTCAAAGCTCCGGGTGGAACTACAAGTCCCAGGAGGCACTGCAGGGCTGACAGCCACAAGTATGAGTCCTGGAGGACCGATGGGATTTGTAGTGTCACCTCACCTGGAGTGCCGAGGTTGCCTATCGCTACACTAAGGGATCACGTGTGGCGCAGGAAGAGGCTCGCCGATAACCGGAGCTGGTCACACGCGGGTAGATTTCCATTCAAACATTCATATGAAGAGAAAAAAAATCATCAGAACATTGGATGAGTCAACTAAGTTCATTGGAAGGGCCCTAAAATCTTCACCCAGATCTGTACCTGAATGGATTCTCAGACGGTTTCTTATACCATTCATGAAAGCAAGAAAAAATATAACGCAAAGTGTATTTAAAGTGGAAGAAAACCCGAACGACCACAGAAAAAAAAAATCCCCCCCCTAACATGATAAAAAAAAAACCAAAAGATCCGTGTACTTATCTCTTTTCAATCCAGTCCAGTCCCATGATCAGCTCTGTGTAAGGGAGCGCTCAACAATGGCTGTGTGACATCACCCATAGGCTCCCAGGCCGAGCCGTTGTCGGTGCTCCCTCCTCTCCCCTGCAGCAGCTGCTCAATGACACAGAAGAGCTGTGGATCACGTGACCGAACCAAAGCAGATTAAACATAGGTAAGTACACAGGAGGGGGGGGAGGAGGGGGAGGGGAGATAGACTCATTCCATGCAAAGCAAGATAGTTCAAGCCGTGATTTGTCGTCATTGTGATGATTATGGCTTACAGCTCATGAAAACCCCAAATCCACAATCTCAGAAAATGAGAATATTCCATGCAATCAATAAAACACGGATTGTACATAGAACAATATCGGACCTCTGAAAAGTAGAAGCTGCATATGTACTCAGTACTTGGTTAGAGCCCCTTTTGCAGCAATTACTGCCTCAATGCGGCGTGGCATGGAAGCTATCAGCCTGTGGCACTGCTGAGGTGTTATGGAAGACCAGGATGCTTCAATAGCGGCCTTCAGCTCTTCTGCATTGTTCGGTCTCATGTCTCTCATCTTTCTCTTGGCAATGCCCCATAGATTCTATATGGGGTTCAGGTCAGGCGAGTTTGCTGGCCAATCAAGCACAGTAATCCCACGGTCATTGAACCAGGTTTTGGTGCTTTTGGCAGTGTGGGCGGAGCCAAGTCCTGCTGGAAAATGAAGTCAGCATCCCCATAAAGCTCGTCTGCGGAAGGAAACATGAAGTGCTCCAAAATCTCCTGGTAGACGGCTGCGGTGACCCTGGACTTAATGAAGCACAGTGGACCAACACCAGCAGATGACATGGCTCCCCAAATCACCACAGACTGTGGAAACTTCACCTGGACTTCAAGCATCTTGCAGTGTGTGCCTCTCCATTCTTCCTCCATACTCGGGGTTCTTGTGCTTCTCCATTCTTCCTCCATACTCGGGGGGTTCTTGTGCCTCTCCATTCTTCCTCCATACTCGGGGTCCTTGGGCCTCTCCATTCTTCCTGCATACTCGGGGTCCTTGGGCCTCTCCATTCTTCCTCCATACTCGGGGGGTCCTTGGGCCTCTCCATTCTTCCTCCATACTCGGGGTCCTTGGGCCTCTCCATTCTTCCTCCATACTCGGGGTCCTTGTGCCTCTCCATTCTTCCTCCATACTCGGGGTCCTTGGGCCTCTCCATTCTTCTCCATACTCGGGGTCCTTGGTGCCTCTCCATTCTTCTTCCATACTCGGGGTCCTTGGCCTCTCCCTCTCCATATCGGGGTTGGGCCTCTCCATTCTCCATACTCGGGGTCCTTGGGCCTCTCCATTCTTCCTCCATACTCGGGGTCCTTGTGCCTCTCCATTCTTCCTCCATACTCGGGGTCCTTGGGCCTCTCCATTCCTCCTCCATACTCGGGGTCCTTGGGCCTCTCCATTCTTCCTCCATACTCGGGGTCCTTGGGCCTCTCCATTCTTCCTCCATACTCGGGGTCCTTGGGCCTCTCCATTCTTCCTGCATACTCGGGGTCCTTGGGCCTCATTTCATTCTTCCTGCATTCTTACTCAGGGTCCTTGGGCCTCTCCATTCTTCCTCCATACTCTGGGTCCTTGGGCCTCTCCATTCTTCCTGCATACTTGGGGTCCTTGGGCCTCTCCCTCTCCATTCTTCCTCCATACTCGGGGTCCTTGGCCTCTCCATTCTTCCTCCATACTCGGGGTCCTTGGGCCTCTCCATTCTTCCTCCATACTCGGGGTCCTTGGGCCTCTCCATTCTTCTCCATTCGGGGTCCTTGTTCCATTCTTCCTCCATACTCGGGGTCCTTGGGCTCTCCTCTCCATTCTTTGCCTTCCATACTCGGGGTCCTTGGGCCTCTCCATTCTTCCTCCATACTCGGGGTCCTTGGGCCTCTCCATTCTTCCTCCATACTCGGGGTCCTTGGGCCTCTCCATTCTTCTTCCATACTCGGGGTCCTTGGGGTCCTTGGCCTCTCCATTCTTCCTCCATACTCGGAGTCCTTGGTTTCCAAATGAGATACAAAAGTTGCTCTCATCAGAAAAGAGGACTTTGGACCACTGAGCAGCAGACCAGGTCTGTTTTTCTTTAGCCCAGGTAAGACGCTTCTGATGTTGTTTGTTGTTCAGGAGCGGCTTGACAAGAGGAATACGACATTTGAAGCCCATGTCCAGGATCCGTCTGTGTGTGGTGGCTCTTGATGCACTGACTCCAGCCTCAGTCCACTCCTTGTGAAAGTCCCCAACACTTTTGAATGGCCTTTTCCTGACAATCCTCTCCAGGCTGCGGTCATCCCTGCTGCTTGTGCACCTTTTTCTTCCACACTTTTCCCTTCCACATAACTTTCTATTAATGTGCTTTGATACAGCACTTTGGGAACATCCAACTTCTTCTGCAATTCCCTTTTGAGGCTTTCCCTCCTTATGGAGGGTGTCAGTGATGGTGTCAGGTCAGCAGTCTTTCCCATGATTGTGATTCCTACTGAACCAGACTGAGAGACCATTTAAAGGCTCAGGAACCCTTTGCAGGTGTTATGGCTGAATGAGCTGATTAGAGTGGGACACTTTGAGCCGAGATTATTCCACCTTTTCACAATATTCTCATTTTCTGAGATTGTGGATTTGGGGTTTTCATGAGCTGTAAGCCATAATCATCACAATGATGACAAATCACGGCTTGAACTATCTTGCTTTGCATGGAATGAGTCTCATATATTAGTTTCACCTTTTAAGTTGCTGCACTGAAATAAATGAATGAATGCACCATATTCTCATTTTTTGAGTTTCACCTGTATGTATATATATATATATATATACACACACACACATACATATATATACACACACAGGGCTGCTGTTAGAAACCACGGGGCCCCATACGGCCAACCAGACAGGGCCCCCCAAAGAAAACAAAGTTTACTATGCTTCAGTTATGAATGAACACAGTGAGTGATGCATACCGATCACTTATTCTGATCATTCAGGAAAGGAAGGGGCTGGTAAATGTGAGGAGGGAAGCCGGCAGCACTGCGGGGGTGGAGGCACACAGGGGGGGCTGGGCAGCAGGGGGACATGCATGGTGCACCGGGAGGGTGATGGGTAAGGCGGGGAGCAATTACTAGAAACAATCCCCTGTATGGCTCTTTCTGCATCAGCTGAAAGCCAGGGGGAGGGAGAGGAGAAAAAGTCAGCTCTCATCTGCTGCAGAGAGAGACATACAGGGGATTGCTTCTAGTAATTACCCCCCACAGTGCCGATCACCCTCCCGGCCCACATCTGATTCACCTAGCTGCCTGGGCCCCCCTGTATGCTTGCGCCCCGTACAGGAGAACTGATGTTACCCCCTTATCCACGGACCTATATACACACACAGTGAAGGAAATAAAATTTTGGTCTCCTTCACAAAACATGACTTAGTACTTGGTGGCAAATCCCTTGTTGGGAATCACAGAGGTCAGACGTTTCCTGGAGTTGGCCCCCAGGTTCGCACACATCTCAGGAGGGAATTTGGCCCACTCCTCTTGGCAGATCCTCTCCATGTCATTAAGGTTTGGTGGCTGACGTTTGGCAACTCGAACTTTCAGCTCCCTCCACAGATTTTCAATCGGATGAAGGTGTGGAGACTGGCTAGGCCACTCCAGGACCATAATGTGCTTCTTCTTGAGCAGCTCCTTTGTTGCCTTGGCCGTGTGTTTTTGGGTCATTGTCATGCTGGAACACCCATCCACCACCCATTGTCAATGCCCTGGCTGAGGGAAGAAGGTTCTCACCACCAAGATTTGATGGTACATTGCCCCGTCATCGTCCCTTTGATGCGGTGCAGTTGTCCTGTCCCCTTAGCAGAAAAACACCCCCAAAGCAGAATGTTTCCACCACCCATGTTTCACAGTTGGGATGGTGTTCTTGGGGTCATAGGCAGCATTCCTCCTCCTCCAAACACAGCGAGTTGAGTTGATGCCAAAGAGCTGGATTTTGGTCTCATCTGACCACAACACTTCCCACCAGTCCTCCTCTGCATCATTCAGATGTTTAGTAGCAGACTTCAGACGGGCCTGGACATGTGCTTTCTTGAGCAGAGGGACCTTGCGGGCACTGCAGGATTTCAGTCCTTGTCGGCGTAGTGTGTTACCAATTGTTTTCTTGGTGACTGTGGTCCCAGCTGCCTGGAGATCATTGACAAGATCCTCACGTGTAGTTCTGGGATGACTCCTCACTGTTCTCATGATCATTGACACTCCACGAGGTGAGATCTTGCATGGTGCACCAGACCTAGGGAGACTGACACTTGTTTTGTGTTTCTTCCATTTGTGAATGATTGCACCAACTGTTGTCACCTTCTCACCAAGCTGCTTGGCCATAGTTTGGTAGCCCAGTCCAGCCTTGTGTAGGTCTACCATCTTGTCCCTGACATCCTTGGACAGCTCTTTGGTCTTTGCCATGGTGGAGAGTTTGGAATCTGATGGTTTGATTGCTCCTGTGGACAGGTGTCTTTTATACAGGTAAACACAATGAGAGAACAAAAGCGCACTGTGCGCTTCAGCATGCGTTGACCCCGCCCTGTCATGTGACGTGGCCTACCACATTGGTTGAGTGGCTGTTGTTCCCAGTTGGCTTCCACTTTGTTATAATCCCACTAACAGTTGAGCGTGGAATGTTTAGTAGCCAGGAAATGTCACGGATGGACTTATTGCCCAGGTGGCCACCTATCACGGGACCACGCTTCGAGTCACTGAGCTCCTGAGAGCGACCCATTCTTTCACCAATGTTTGTAGAAGCAGTCTGCATGCCTAGGGGATGATTGTATACACCTGTGTCCATGGAGGGGATTGGAAACTGAACCATGATTGGGAGGGGGAATCACCGATCACATGATATGGGAGGGGATTGGAACACCTGAATCACATGATTGGGAGGGGATTGGAACACCTGAATCACATGACTGGGAGGGGATTGGAACACCTGAATCACATGACTGGGAGGGCGGGGACACTACTTTTGGCAATATAGTGTATGTGGATATACAACTGCATGGTTTGTTGCAGTTTTTTCAGGTTGTCTTACATATGAATGGAGAATAAAGGTCTGATGAAGGATACAGATCTATTTTTTTTATTAAAGAAGAAGTACAGCCAAAGTCTTTTTTGGCTGTACTTCTCCTACAGATGCACTTCGTTCTTCACTCCTGTGACCCATTTACAGCACACAGTGGGTTAAAGTCCGCTGGTGGCTGACGTCAAAGAGCTGGTCCAAGCCGGGGAAAGATCTCCACCATACGGTCAGGATCCACACAGCTACTGTTTATCTTTATGTCAATTGATAAGACAGGTAGAATCTCTGTTCAGTTCTCATCGCCTTATTGGTGATCAGTGGGAAGAATGTCCCTTACATTGGTGATCAGTGGGAAGAATGTTCCTTACATTGGAGGTCAGTGGGAAGAATGTCCCTTACATTGGAGGTCAGTGGGAAGAATGTCCCTTACATTGGGGGTCAGTGGGAAGAATGTCCCTTACATTGGTGATCAGTGGGAAGAATGTCCCTTACATTGGGGTCAGTGGGAAGAATGCTCCTTACATTGGTGATCAGTGGGAAGAATGTCCCTTACATTGGTGATCAGTGGGAAGAATGTCCCTTACATTGGGGGTCAGTGGGAAGAATGTCCCTTACATTGGGGGTCAGTGGGAAGAATGTCCCTTACATTGGGGTCAGTGGGAAGAATATCTCTTACATTGGTGGTCAGTGGGAAGAATGTCCCTTACATTGGGGGTCAGTGGGAAGAATGTCCCTTACATTGGGGTCAGTGGGAAGAATGTCCCTTACATCGTGGTCAGTGGGAAGAATGCCCCTTACATTGGTGATCAGTGGGAAGAATGTCCCTTACATTGGGGGTCAGTGGGAAGAATGTCCCTTACATTGGGGGTCAGTGGGAAGAATGTCCCTTACATTGGGGGTCAGTGGGAAGAATGTCCCTTACATTGGGGTCAGTGGGAAGAATGTCCCCTTACATTGGGGGTCAGTGGGAAGAATGTCCCTTACATTGGGGTCAGTGGGAAGAATGTCCCTTACATTGGGGGTCAGTGGTCTATTCATGGCAGCCTTACCTTCCATCCCACCCCGGCGTTGGGGGTAATACGTGGGAAGTTGTCACAAAATCCAGCGGTAGATCTCGCTGAGGGTCATTCGCCTGGCGGGGGCGGAGTTTATGGCATACTGGATGAGATTGGCGTAACTATAAGGCGGTTTTTTCCGTCGCGGTGGGCGGCTGCTTCCTCCTTGGTCAGCATGGCGTTGGAGTCGGTGGGGGACCCGGGTCCTTTCCGCCCTCCGGTGCCTTGGGGACCCCTTCATGGCGGCCTGGATGGTCAGCTGCGGGAGCCAGTCATTGGAGGTCAGGCTACTTGAAATGTCCCTGACGCCAATCTTGAGGCTGAGGAAGAAAAAAACGAAGGCTTAATAGTGACCCCGCAATGTCCCCGAAACAAAAAACAAATCATGAATCTGTATCATCCTCCATCGCTGTGTATATAGATATATATATATATATATATATATATATATATCCCTATATATTGAGGGCGACAATGGGGTGTCCTCTGACCATCTCCTGTATCATGTCTGCAGTCTCTGACCATCTCCTGTATCATGTCTGCAGTCTCTGACCATCTCCTGTACATGTCCAGTCTCTAACATCTGTATCATGTGGTGCAGTCTCTGACCATCTCCTGTATCATGTCTGCAGTCTCTGGAACCATCTCCTGTACTAGGTCTGCAGTCTCTGCTGACCATCTCCTTACATGGGCAGTCAGTCTGACCATGTCTCCTTACATTGTATCAGTCCTGAAGAATCTCTGATAACCTGTATATATCTGCAGTCTCTAAGACCATCTCCTGTACATGTCCTGGTGCTCTGAAGAATCTCCTGTACATGTGGTCAGTCTCTGAAGAATTGTCCCTGTACATGGTGCATCTCCTGGGGATCTCATGAATGTCCCTTGACCATCTCCTGGGTCATGGTCTGCATCTCTGACCAGACTTACCTGTCCATGTCCCAGTCCCTGACCATCTCCGGTAATCATGTCTGGAAGTTGTCACGAAATCCCGGTAGATGCAGTCGCTGACCATCTCGCCTGGCGTTGGGGGTCGGCAGTTTATGACCATCTCCTGGTACTAGTATCCTGGCGTTCCCTGACCATCTCCTATAAGGCAGTCTTGACCATCTCCTGTATCATTCCCAGTCTCTGACGCATCTCCTGGTCAGCATATTGCAGTCGGTGAGGGGACCATCTCCTGTTTCCGCCCTCCTGACCATACTGCTGGACCCCTAATCAATGCAGGCCTGACCATGGTCCTAGTACCATTCTGCAGCGGGTCTCTGACCATCTCCTGTATCATGTCTGCAGTCTCTGAGCGCCATCTCCTGTATGGTCGCTGTCTGCAGTCTCTGACCTGCTCCTTACTATCTCCGCAGCTCTGACCATCCCCACCACCCACTCCTGTATCTTGTCAGCAGTCTCTGACCATCTCCTGAATCTGTATCTGCAGTCCTCTCGGACGCATCTATATATATATAGGTAGCAGGGCGACCAATGTAATCGTGTCTGCAGTCTCTGACCATCTCCTGTTATCCATGTCTGCAGTCTCCTGACCATCTCCTGTATCATGTCTGCAGTCTCTGACCATCTCCTGTATCATGTCTGCAGTCTCTGACCATCTCCTGTATCATGTCTGCAGTCTCTGACCATCTCCTGTATCATGTCTGCAGTCTCTGACCATCTCCTGTATCATGTCTGCAGTCTCTGACCATCTCCTGTATCATATGTCTGCAGTCTCTGACCATCTCCTGTATCATGTCTGCAGTCTCACTGACCAACTCCTGTATCATGTCTGCAGTCTCTGACCATCTCCTGTATCATGTCTGCAGTCTCCTGACCATCTCCTGAACATAGGTCCTGCAGTCTCTGACCAACTCCTGTATCATGTCTGCAGTCTCTGACCATCTCCTGCTATCATGTCTGCAGTCTCTGACCATCTTTCTGTATCATGTCTGCAGTCTCTGACCATCTCCTGTATCATGTCCGCAGTCTCTGACCATCTCCTGTAGTAAGGTCTGCAGTCTCTGACCATCTCCTGTATAGTGATCTGCAGTCTCTGACCATCTCCTGTAGTATATCCGCAGTCTCTGACCATCTCCTGTAGTATATCTCGCAATCTCTGACCATCCTACCTGTTACCATGTCTGCAGTCCTCTGACCATCTCCTGTATATATATATTACATAATTATATTATTATTATTAATAAACACCTATACCTTACAAATGTTTTTAATATAATTAAAAATAAATACAAAAATAATTAAAAATAAATAATAAATAAAATGTTAATCTCAACCCAAACTCTAATTCTAATATTCCTCCAGGGCCTCGGCTTTCAGAAAACATATCATCTTTAGTTGGGGGGGGGGGTTTCCGCTGTCTGGAAATAGTGCGACGGGGGGGGGGGGGCGGGGGGTACTGGGGGAAAAGGGCGGGGGGCGGATGTACTGGGGAAGGGGGGGGGGGCGATGGGGTGTACTGGGGGAAGGGGCGGGCGGGGGGGGGTTTGGGGGCGGTGGGCGACGGGGTGTACTGGGAAGGGCGGGGGGGGGGGCGGATACTGGGAAGGGCGGGGGGATGGGAAACTGGGGGAGGGGGGGAGCGGGGGTACTGGAAGGGGGGGGCAGGGGATGTACGGGAGAGGGGGGGCGCGGGATGTCTGGAGGGCGGGCGGCGGATTACTGGGGGGAAGGCGGGGCGGGATGTACGGGAGAGGCGGGTGATGGGGTTACTGGAAGGGGGGTGATGGGGGGTTTCTGGGAAGGGCGGGGGGAGGGATTACTGGGAGGGGCGGGGAGGGAAAACCGGGGGGGCAGGGGGGGAAGAATGTACTGGAAAAGGGGGGCTTGGGGGGGGGGGCCGGGATGTACTGGGAGAGGGGGGGCACCGGGGTGTACTGGGGGAAGAGGCTGCGAGCCGATGTACCTGTGAGAGGCGGCCGGATACTAGGAGGGCGGCGAGGATTACGGGAGAGGCGGTGATGATGTAATGGAGAGGCGCAGCGGGATGTACTGAAGGGCGGGCAGCGGGAATGTACTGGGAAGGCGGCATCCGGATGACTAGAGGGGCGGCACGATGTACTGGATAGGCGGGGCGGCGGATGTACTGGGAATTGCGGCGGCGATGTACTGGGAGGATGCGGCGATGGGGGATTACTGGTATAGGCGGGTGATGTGATGGGATGTGACTGGGAGAGGGCGGGGCAGCGGGATTACTGGATAAGCAGCGGGATGTACTGGGAGGAGGCAGCGGGATGTACTGGAAGGCGTGCAGCGGGACATGTAACTGGGAGAGGGCGGCGGGCGGATGTACTGGGAGTGGGCGCGGCGGCGGGATAACTAGTACTGGGCGGTCGACGATGTACCGAAGGGCCGCGAAATTGTTCCGGGGACGCGGGCAGGGTGAGATGTACCCGGGAAGCGGCCGGCGGCAGGCTCCGCGTCATATAAAAATAACCCTTTCGGCTTTTACTTCTGTGTTATGGGTGGGGAGGTGCAGGGCTGTCCAACGCTGCATAATCAATGTAAAGATGTTCAACAGTTTGAGTCAGATGAATTGATGGCTGAGGACCTGCCGGACCCCGCGGTGTCAATAATCTCAGCTCAATTGGGAGAGGTGTCTTCGACTCATTACACTCCACCTCCCCGCACGCACCGCCCTTACCGCCCCCACCCAATCACTCCTAAACATAAAGCAAGGGTCTCTGAGTTCACACGACAGCGATCCTGGTTGTGGATCTTCTCTATGAAAAGAGCAGTTGAGACAAAAACTGTCTGATGTTCCGATGGTAATGGAGCTCAGTCATATATAACATTTGCTAGGCACGCGCTTGGTTAGAACCCCCTCCCCAGCCAGTGGTCTTTAGTAAACATTGTCAGGTACAGTGTTAGTGGTCACTAACGATTATTAGTCCAGTGTTCCCGTCCCAGCCAGAGCCAAGAGTTGCCCCGCCGCACTGGTCTACGGTCATGATCACCGCCATTACCAGTACAAAAATGAAATAAAAAAAAAAACCCCAGTAGTATATATCCCATATGAGTTTGAAAAACGCCATAACTTTCACACAAACCAATCAGCCACTTATGGACACGCCTCCCGCATTGTACTACAGGCCGAGCGGCTCGCACAGGCACAGTGATGTACCTGTTACTCTGTATGTCGCTGCCTTCTTCCAGGTTCCCCACTCCCCTGCCGAATCCTGCGTGACTGGTGGTGGATTTTATTAGCAGTTTCAGCCAATGATTCATGGCTGTGACCTGCTGTCACCTGCGTCCAATCACAGCCCACAGCTCCTGTGTTGAGGCCCACACAGGGCTCTGTACAGAGGGAACAATCTCTTTTCTTCTTCTCCCTGCAAAGCACTTGTTAGGCACGCAATAACCCCATTTTGATTAACCCCCAGATGTTAACCCCCTTTCCCAGCCAGTGTATAGGTCACTATTGACATCGCTTGACAGTCTGTGTCTCTCCCAGTCAGTGTACTGTTAGCGCCAGATTTTCCCTCCACACTATCACAGTCCTGCTATACGTTGTTCATCACCAACCATTACCAGTTATAGTGTCAAAGCTGAATGAATCCCAGTATATATATCATCGTTTCGGTAGACGCAAATAAACGTTCACAACCGACCAATCACCACTTAATACGGAGACCGCCCCACAACTGCATCATATTGCGGGTGGGCGGCTTCCATGAAACTCAGAGACCGTACCGGTACAACTTGTACCACACTGGCTTATGCTGGGTTCAAGAACAGGAGCCCCCCCAGATACCCCTGCCCACTCCTGCTGTGATTGGACACACAGTTGTGATTTTGACAGCAGGTTTCAGCCGCTGAATTCTATGCTTAGAGACCTGCTGATTGGCTGACAGTGACACAGGGGCTCTGTACAGAGGAAGGTATCTCTTGTTTGCAGCACGGGGAGGGGGAGGCGGAGGGGGGGAAAAGAAACACAAGCGATCTTTAACCACTTCCTGTCCCGGACACTTGGGCCCCCCATTCCAGGGGGCCTTCCAGACGCGTTCCCCCCCTTCCGTGGTCCGGACGCTTGCCCCCCCTTCCGAGTCCGGGACCACCTGTCCCCCACCTTCCGGTCCCGCGACAATTTCTCCCGCCCTTCCAGTCCGGACAGTCCCCCCCCCTCCCGGTCCCCGCTTTCCCCCCCTCTTCCGGGCCAGACGCGTGTCCCTCCCCTTCCGGTCCGGGACGCTGTCCCCCATTCCGGGTTACCGGACGCTTTTCCCCCCAGTCCGGGGGTCCACACGACGTTACGCTTTCCCCCCTCACCTCTGTCCGTGTCCGGACGCTTTTCCCCCCCTTCTTT